TATTTACTTTTTAGTATGCAGAGAAAAACATATTACGTTGTTTGCACAAGTTTGTTATCAATTTCCAGTTTATTAAATGCTTATTACAAGATAAGGGCGTTAACAAAGCTGATTATAAAGAATTTATAATCATCCAATGACATTAACATTAATAACATTATAAATTTTACAATTTTCCTAAATTTAGACAAAAATTTCCCCTCTTCCCCTTTCCCCAGAATATTATTGTAATTATTATAATTCTGATGGGTATTCATCTCAGGATTCAGTATTTTTTCTCAAAGGCCCAGGCCAAGGGCCAAACCATGAACCTAGGCGGGGCACTAGAGGGTTGCTTTGTCTAACTGGTTGTTACTTAGTAAAAAGCACAGGTTTATAACAATATTAATTTCACCAAAATAATGTTCTTTTATTGCAACGGTACATGTATGTGCAGTGGAACCTTGATTTAAGAAACCTCCATAAATATAACGAAGTCCGTGGTATAAGAAACTATATTTCCAGCCCCAGTAATAGTAAAAATATTGATATATGGAAAAGAACCTCAATATGAAAAATCCTCGTTCAGTGCTCCAAGCTCGGTTTTGTTCAAAGTCGCCTTTGGCGACCTAAAATTATAAAATGGTCGCAAGGTAAGCTACTGAAGTCGATTTCTGAAACAGTTTCCGTCCAAATAATCGGTTCATATTTTTGCCAAGTTTCTGTAGTTTTTTCTGCAGAAAATGCATCTCCAGAAGCAAGCTCCTTTAAACTACTCACTACATCATCTACCTGGCACATCATTGTAAACTCCACTCAATGATTAAATAAAAGAATATCAAAGGCTGTACTTTTACTTTTGTATAGCACTTATTAATGTTAGACATAAGTCACATAAACCCACTTTTGTTTTAGTGCAGTACCCTAAATGGCAAGATCTCGATGGTAGCTAGCAAAAAAACCCTAACTGGCAAGATCTCAATGGCAGCTACTAAAAAAACTCAAATCAACAATATTCCAGTGATGTACACTTAGGATGAAAGCCTGGAACTGTTATAATTTTTCCTTAATTCACAAAGCCTGGACAATGTCTGTATTAGAACAGACACATTACCCCGACTTTGTTTTTCACCAGAGCATGTGGAATAAATTTTTTTTCTCGTGGGAATTCCGTTTTCTCATGATACCCATTCATCAAACAAATTTTTAACCACGTGATTTGAATATAGCCCTTGATTCTCATTGTCTTGAAGTTACTTGAAATCTAAATTGCCGTCGCGAAGACCCAGAGAGCAGTAGTAAATAGTTTCTTTGAAACATACATGTATTCAGCTTTCTTCACGATACCTCCATTTCTGTTGTCATCTGACCCATTTCCCGCTCATCTTATCAAAATGGCAGCCAAACTATTATGCCCTACATCGCAAATATCAAATTTGGACACCTCACGGCATCTCAAGGCTTCACAAGTCCTGTTGGTCCTACTTTTCTCCTGTTAACAGAACTATACAGAGCATAAATAACAGTGATTTTGTTACCTCTGCATCCTGCGTACCTGACATATAAAAATCCAGAAATGACGGAAAATAATTCATGGCATGCGTAAAAGGACACAAAGAACAATTGACCGATTTGAAGAGTTTTTGGTAGAATATCCTGTTATGTGATTTCTGTGGCTGTTGTTTAAAGATGCGTATTTATTTTAGTCTTTTTTGTGCTTCAAATATATAGAACAAGCAGTAATAAAGACTTTTAGCGTCTGTGTCCAGATTAACTGTCTGGTTACATAAAGGCCCAAGCCTTTTTGCCTCCTTGATTTTTTGAATTGGGACTCCTTGGTTATGGACAGGGACTCGTGATTTGTCACAAGATGAGTCCGAGGACACACCATAACTATTTGTAACAAAATCACTGAAATTTTATTTCTTACAAATGTTTATCTCAATTTAACTTTGGAAAGACCATTAACACTAGCTGACAAAGGAACTTCGCATGCCATGGCACATGACCATCAAACACAGGATGCCAAATTGGCAACTTTCGTTGCAAGTATAGTCGCCAATATTTTTTTTATTCGCCATGGTAACCAAAATGGTCGCAGCTCGGAGCACTGTAATTATAGCAAACATATTTTGTTAGTCCCTTGGTCCTTCGTTATATCAAGGTTTCACTGTGTTTACCCTTACTAGCCCTGTTAAGAGATGTAAGGATTTAATAATAATGCAACCTCTATCACCGACATGTAAAATGTTAATCATTGAGATGGAAACACTTGTTCATTGATAACTATTATTAATTTTGATACTCAAGAATTCTCAGAAATTTCCAGAACAGCTAGTGTTAGAACTGATAATTGCATGGAAGTACTACCATCTAGTAAAATGGAATTTAACAATGTGATACTTAATAAAAGATGCAAAAATGATAACTGACTCCTCAAGAAAATATAAATTAATGAACATCAGCAAGCAAAATAATGTAGCTTCAGACACAATTAATTTTAATTAAAAGTTTCTTCCTAAGGGGTCATTTTATTATTTTCCAAAAAGTATTTTTAAGCGCAAGCTACAAATTAAGTAAACTATAAACAAAGATATAAGCGGTAATTTCTCTTTACGGTACTCATCATCAACAACAAGATTTAAACTCTAAGAGAAGTAAATGAACTACCACTACCATGCAATAGTTCTACATGTTGATATCAATTTAATGTGAGAACTTTTGAAAAGTATTGAGTTTACCATGACAACTTTGACATAATATTAATAAGCCCCTTGAACTGCAGAATTGTAGTCTCTCTCTAAAGAACAAGTTAAAAGCCAGAAAATGCCAAAGGCAAATTTGATGACTGCTAGAACAATCAAAAAGAAAAATCCAGGAGCAATAAACAACAATTCCCTGAAAACTGCTACAGAGTGTACATGCAGCAGCATAACAATTTTGTGCTGTGGCTGATACATGTAGGATTAAAATCTCTGCTTTAAGCTGGTATAAGTCAATGACCTCAATGACATCACTGTTATCTTTAAAGAATTCTACTTCAATTTATCAACTCTAAATATGTAGTCAAAATAGGCAAAGAAAAATAACTGTTATCACATAACCAATGTCACGAAAGTCTGTAAGTAATGCCTTTTGTTGCTGAGAACTTTTGATGGCCAACAGATTTAGAGTAAATTGCAACATGCAGGTGAGAAAGTCTGAACTCCAAAATATTCTTCATACACTTGGTGAGATAAGCTGTTTTATGTTTTGAGTGTGGCCCTCAACGCTACTGACAAAACACTGCCTCAAATCTTATGGATTAAGATTGATGATCCTATTTTATAAGATTGACGCACTCAATTTTATCTTTGTGGTTTGCATGTTTCCTTTTTGGGTCTCTGTTTTGACCTGAAATTCCTCACCCCGTCAAAGTGTAAGTCACCTTTTTTTGACTGCATGATAAATATTAGTCCAAAAACAGAGTACACTTTCAAGCTTCAAGAAAACCTACATTGTGTATCCTCATGAAAACATAATTTGGATAAATGCTGTTTAATTTATACAACCTCATAAAAGTTTAACCCCTCTGTTATCATGATTAAAGGTTAAAAAAAGAAGATGACCATGTGGTTAAGGTGACAAATAATAAAACCCAAAAATTTGGTTTTGTTTGCTACAAGTACATTGAATAATCAATGATAAGGAATAAAGACAGCATTTGTCATTGCTTAACCTTCAACAAAACAGAAAGGAAATATTCTTTGACTCATAAAAAGGGATTTAGATTAAAGCTAAAAAGGTTACAGACTAGATGAGTTTTAAATAGGCAAGATGGTATTACAATAAAAATGCTCTTATACTGAATATTGTAATTATGAAGACACATGAATATTGATCTCATTTATATCATAATAAGTGTGCAGAGGATATATTCACAGGTAAAGAAATAATTTTCTCGTTCAAATATAAAAAATAATTATAAATAAAGTAGAGCTCGAGATCTGTGTGAAACAGTTTTTCCATCAAGGCAAAAAATGAGGTAAATTGAAAATAACTCAATGTAACATTTATTTACACAGTGCAAGCTCTTTAAATAAAATGCATCAACTACCCTGGGATCAAAACAAATACCAAACGGAAAATATAAAAGACTTTTACACATTTCCACACGCCTTTCACACTAAACACTGGATCAAATAAATTCTAGGGAGGAAATTTTCAGAAATTAAAAATTTTGGATGTGTTTTTCTACCAGAACGTTTGTTTGCCAAGAAATCTAGGGTGGGTCACCTAGTTTCACCTGTGTGTCACAAGCTGGCGTCTGCCGTATTATATGGACAAAAATCTGAAGGGAAAATCGCCCTCGATTACTTCGTCCAATTCTACCAGAAAATGTAAAAATGATTAATAAATATCCTACGAAGATGCATCTAGGTGATTCACTAAAAGCCTTAAAATATTTAACCAAAAAACAACTCAAAGATGCAAAATTATAAATAAGTCAGATCTACATGTATGAAAATAAATAATAATTCGCAAGTTTTTTTCCTTTTCTCACAAAAGTAGACAGCCAGTCTTGTTTCAGTTACAGACACTTCCTAAACACAAAATTTACTCGTGGGGTAGACTAATAATTGCACATTATTTTTGAAGTTTAAGCAGTGGACGGTAAATCGCCGATAACTGGCAAAGATAAAATTGTTCACCCTTGAAGGAATAAGAAATTCTAATACAGCTAAATCGACAAAGTGGATGCTTTTAAAAATACATGAGCTAAGCCTAGCTGTCAATAGCATTTGTGTTTACTATCAGAAACGCAGAAACCCATAACAGCGAATGGTTTTAAAGATCTCAAGCTCTAGAGTCTGAATGTTAAGGTGTAAAAGTGGTAGATTAAAATTATATTCCGACTTACCGTAGCCTGTGAACATATCATTGGAAGAGGCAGTCAGCGCAGTCATAAAACGAAGAAAAATATAAGAAAATACAAATTAGTTCATTTCATTTTGCAAAATTGCTAACAAGGAATTTCGTAAAAAATATGAGTATTTGGGGCCCCCAAAAATCTTTGAAAATAAGAAAACATGAATCACGGATAAGAACAACAAAAGTATCTTTACAATGTTTAAAACGTTCAAAGAATTCGCAAAATTCACCTGTTTAGAGCCTGGTATAGTCACTTGCACACCACATCGCGCGCAAACTTTGAGTTTGCAATATTTACACTCCTTGCCCGATCCGTCCGTAAATTTTGTCTTGTGGCAAATTTCGCAGACATTTTCCTCACTTTTAGTAACCGACTGTCCGGTTTTTCGCTCAACTTTATTTTGATAGCTCTCGACTTCTTTCTCAAGATTTCTGGAATTGAATAAAACATACGAAGACATAAAATTGTTTAATTTCCAGTGGAGCGTAAAAATAAACCAAACAGGAACAAGCTCGATACAATCTGCAAGGATAATTCTTTTCAAACGTCTAATAATCGCAAGTGATGAAAATACAGCAACAAAGGCAATACAAAAAGCAAAGACTGCTATACACGGCCTAACGCCAACATGGCGTTATAAACACACGCCGAAGTGGAGTACCTACCTTTGCAATTCAATGGTTTCTTCTTCCATTTGTTTCTGTCTTTGCAAGACACACTGTATAATCTGCTTCTCCTCCTCGGTTAAATTCGACAGATCGGGAGGTGGAGGAGACGCAGGCAATCTTGAACCAGCCATTTTTCGCATCATGAAAAACAGTTACGAAGCCTCGCGTGAACTCTAGCTGAGGATTCGCCTCAAACAGGCGGCGATCGATAACAAATCCACGCTAAAATACGTGTAAAGGCCTCCAAATACTGCAAGATGCTATCTAAACTTCCGTTTGGAATTTTGCCTGTCCACTTCCATACTAATATTTCATTCATCCTTTACAAAATTGTCCCCATGCCCAACACAAAGAAAGCTTGTAAAAACCACAACACTACCTCAGAGACTACCTAAAAGTAAGAATAAATGCCAGTGTTTAGCCCTCGGGAATCGCGCGCGCGCACATCGTACAATATCGCTTTATCTTCGGAAACTGTCGGTGATTGTCGGAAATTGTTGAGGATACAAACGACTCGCCGAACACTTTACCTAAACCTTTTTCACGGTAATTCTTATATATTGCTGAAGAGTTTGGGTTTTGTCACGTCAGATCACACGTCATCTCACTAAATGTTGCGTGTCACGCCGCATGTACTGTATGTTAAAAATTGTCAAAGTTATTGTCCTACTCTTCAGCGAATGTCAACACATTACTCAAGTCGACGATTTCAGTCAAGTTTTTCAAGTAGTTGGTAGTTTGTATTTGACCAAATAATATTTTTCTGTTCGATATTGATTGAAAGCAAAAGAGGCATCCCAAAATCAGGTAATTCTTGGTTAATAAATGGAGGAAGAAAACACAGACTGTTGGCGGATAGAGGGGAGGGTCCATATAGTGTCCATTGACATCAGATGATAGATTTAATTTTTCAATTTTTTTTTACCCTAATTTCCTTGAAGCTGAAACCGCTACCATGAAGAGAACCAAAGCAACTTTTATCAGGTAGATTTTGTTTTAACCATACAAACAGACAAAAATTCCGTGACCTCATATGCATAACCATAGAGCGTAAGTCCCTTTAAACACGTGCATATTCAAGTTTGCACGTAATAAACATATGAGTGGCAAGGAGGGATTGAAGATGGACCCCCTTATCAAAAATTCCTGGTCATCCGAAACTATTCAGTATATGTTATAGGACTTATAGCCTACTAGTAGCGAAAAGTGCGCGCTTTTTGGCGGCAAAATAGGATTAAAGTCTAGCTTTAACTAGCTAAATTTTTTTTATTCTCCATATTTTTCACCAACTAGTTGGATTTTACTAAAACAGTTTTTCTAGCCCTCATGGCTTCTGAGTCCAGCCCATTCGGCTTTCGGCCTCATGGACTATTGACTCAGAGCCCATTCGGGCTCGAGGAATAATTGTTAAATATCTCCTATCGAACATCTTGGGCAATCTAGTATTAGGCTAATTCTAGTTTCTCTAATTCTTTCTAGCCCCTGATGAAGACTAGTTTTGTCTAGTCGAAATATTTCCGGGGCAAATAAATTTGTAACCCCTATGAAGTCTTAGTCTCTCCTGTTTCTCTGATTATTAACTCTTTCCTTTTCTTAGGTAATAAAAAAGTGTCTTTTATATTTATGCCAATGATCAAAGGGAATCTTCCAAGTTCAGCTCTCCACGCGCATGCAACATTGGATGGCTTGTTATATACTTCTAAAAAGCGTTTACAGAATTGTAGAAGTGTTTTTGCAATTTTTGACGAAGGCGAGGGTGTTCAAGCAAAAGCTAAGTGTAAAGCATAATCACCTCTTTGTATATCTGAACCATTAATGATCTTCATTTTCTTTGGGCTTATTTTATTTTTAGCACCCAGGAGTTGCATTACGAAGATAGCCGTGAATTGAGACAATTTTGCATTCCCAATTTTGATCGAGATACTATATAATTAAGTCCTCTGCATGAAAGAAAAATGAGTCAGATAGGGGTCAGATAAAATATTGTTGAACGAGAAAGCTAATCATTAACTACATACAGGTTCAAGAGCAGAGGACTTCAGATAAATGAGAATACAAAATTATTTTCTTATGAAAGATTTCGCAATTTCCCTCGTTTTGAGAAAGAGGCATGACACTTCTCGAAAATGGCCTATTCAGGTTAGCGTTAGCCCTGTGTAGCAAGCGTTTCCGGGCGAGATCGTCAAGAGAATTGGGTTCACTCTAGCCAATTTTCGCGCGATAACTCGAACGGAAACGCTTGCTAGTAACGCAGGCTAATTCAAGTTGCCTTAGCTCAGGGGCACGCAACGACGGTTTTCTATAAAGCATCTGTTCGGAGAAGCAAATATTGCCTAGAATTTTCTATTGCTTGAGGACGGCTAAATGATCGTTCCATTCATGTACAATTTTCGAGGCTTATCTAATAAATTCCCTACCATTTTCTGAAGTTAACTTTTCACATTTCACCACCCAGGTTGGGCTATTTCTCTTACAAAAAAGGAAACCTAAAATGTGCGAATTCGAAAATTTGATGGACAGAGATGTCAGAAAAAACCTCACTTTCGTAAAACGTTGAATTGCTAATCTAAAATTTTCCGGAAAATAATACTGAAGCCCTTGTAATTTCGAAAAGACTCAAGTTCCCCGAGGCCAGGGTGACCGAACAGATGCAAATTTTTTAGCGCCGCTTAGAATGCATTTCTAGAGATCCAAAAGTACTCTGGATAACCTTAAAAGTGTTTTTAATGTATTTAGGAAGAAACCGTCGTTGGGTGCCCCTGTTAGCTGCATGTTCACTAGTCTCAGATGGATACAGCTGCCGTAACCAAAAAGGGAGTAAAAAACCATTGTAGCTAAACATCGTCATTTTACCCTCGATCGTCTACCACCTCTCATCTCCTTAAACCAAACCGCAGTTTCTTGGGAAAACAGATCGAATATACAACTTCACTATATTTAGCGTCTTGAACAGGGTGTCTTTTTTGACCGGAACTCTTAATATGAAAAGATGCACGGAAAATTGGCATTTAGCGATCTACTTACATTTGTCGTGAAGAAGTCGTTACTTCACGTTGCCATGGTAGCAACATTTCTGGATGACAACAAACCAAAGACGTCACTTAATGGCACTGTTTCAAACTCCATCGATCTTATTTATTTTCAGTACACCTCCTTTCTTTTCGAAAAGAAACGCCTTAAAAAACATCAAAGTGGTAACAAGAAAGGCCACTCAGTCAAAGAGATCCTGAGCATATTGCTTACAGATCATCTTTTTCAAGCCATCAATGATAAGAAAGTTGCTGCCATGGTGCTTATTGATCTAAAACCCATTTCAAACGTCGTGCTACTGCCGTGCCGATTTCAATTCACAAATTAAAAATACATTAGAATACATTTAAAAGCATGCTAAACCGTTTCTCAATCTTTGTGCTTTGTTTTCGGCAACAGCCGCTCTTTTCGACTGAATTAAATTCGACGTCTGAAACCAAGTTGTGCTAGTGTCGTGCTGCAGTCGAGCTACAGTCGAGCCAGCTTAGAATGGCAGTAGCACGACGTTTGAAACAGGCCTAAGTAAGGCGTCCGTCAGCATTAGCAACGTTACCCGCTATCCTGTTAACAAGCTTCAGTCGCTAGGAACATCAACGAATGCTCTAAATTGGTTTCAAAGCGGATACCTTAACAATACAGAGCAAACGTACCACTCGAGTTAAAAGTAACTTATGGCGTCCCACAGGTATCTATTCTCGGGCCCGTGTTATTTATTTCAGATACATGAACGACCTGCCAGACATCACTTCGAACTGCTCTAGTTGTATGCTGTGTTGATGTCACTAAACTCTTTATTTCCTTTGCAACCAACGAAAATTAGATGCCTTAAGTCAGATTGTCGGCGATCTCAATAGTGCAGCAGAGTGGTGTGTACTAACCGACTCCTCCTCATAAATCTAGAGGAAACAAAGTTCATGCTCTTACTATATTTGACCGGTAACCTTTCTTTCGATTCTCACCATGTAAATCATCTATCATCTTCACGACTAGGCAAACTTTGCCAAATTAATAGTGTCCGACATGTAATTACAAAAGTTATTTCAGTCATTTTGAATTCTTTAGTTCAGCAAATTATTTTACTGTTACAGTGTGTGGTCAGGAACAACACCACAGAACGTCCAGAAACTTCAGCCATTACAGAATTTTGCTACCAGGATACTAACTGGAAAAAGAAAACATGATCATATTTCCACAACCATTAGAGAACTTGGATGGCTCCAAATAAAGAACATGTTACAGCTTCGTGACGTAACCATGGTTTTTAAGATTCTTAACGGCCTCGCTGCAAGTACCTTGAACCGATGGTGGTAACGCACTTTAATATTCACAGTCAGAATAGCAGACAGAAGAATCACTTACACACTACATTTAGGAGAACCTCGACTGCGCAGAGATCATTTTTCTTTCGCGCTGGAATAAGTTAAAAGAGCACACTAAGAACAGTATGAACATTGTTATTTTTAAACATCGTGCCCGAGGGGAACTTTGGGCATCTACACTTTGACTTGTGTAATGCTTTTTTAGGATCATATTTGTTTTCATTCATCTTGATCATTGTTATTAGTTTTTTAAGAGTATTGTAATTAGGTTTTCTTCTGGTGATTGTAAATTAACACTGAAAGTCCCACTTTGGGACATGTTAATAAACTTATTGTGTTGTATGATCGGCGCCATTTTACCATCAAAGGATTATTCCGGCGAGGAACGTGCTCAATATTATGAAACGATAGTCACGTTAACTAGTCATTTTACACATCCTTGCCCTCCATGTTTCCATTTATAATGTAGATGAAATTCCAGCGATAAAACAAGAAAACGCCTGAGCCAGGTTTGACTACGGTGGAATGAGACTATAGGCCATGGAAACTATGGGGTGTAAGGACAGCAAAATTTGTTTTCCTCTGTCTCTCGCGCAAGGTCAGTTTTCAAAATAAAACTTCACCGGAAATAAACGCTAAAAACTGTCAAGTTGTGGACAACAATTTCCTATGATGTATATTCTAATACAGGCTATAGAAATGACGTTTAAAACTCAAGTTTGTAAAGCAGACTACCATTTCGGAAAGTTTGGAGAGTAAACACGTTCTGGAGAGTCTAACCATATAACATAATG